AGAAATATTATTGTTTCCTGGGAAGGAGCAATTTATTTGCTACTGTTTACTATTTTGCTTACAATTAGTTCACCTCAGCAATGGTGTTTACGTTCCGTTGTCCAGTCCAGTTGGAGTGCGTCCACTCATGCTTCTTTTTCGGCCTATACAATGGTTAGCGAGTCTAGCTCAAGCCAGACACAGTTCATAGCTCTCATGTCTTTAGATTATACCACTACCATCTTACTAACAGCGGATGGTTGGCTCGGAAGTATAACCATCCAGGTCTCACCTCCCGAGAAAGGTGTGGTAGTTTAGGCACTGGCATTTCCCCTGAACGGCTTGGCAACAACATCAGTGAATACTGCAAAAGAAAAGTATCAGCGCCGCAATCAGTCCTAAAAGTGCATCCCGACGGCTCGACGCAATCGAACACGCAAAAGAAATGCACTTTGGATGCTTTGCCGTCTGTGTCTGCTGGGGGGATCTCGCGATCAAGAAGGCGGGACCCCCGTGGTGAGGCCCTCGCATTGCACTTTAGCGAGGGCTGACCTGCGTGGCAACCTCGAGGTGAGGTTAGCCAACGGCTAAATTTTTGCGTGTGGGGCTGCGTTCGCGCGGCCCTGGCAATGAGTGTGAAGCCTTTGGTAGGGGGTTTGAAGGTCCCTTTCCAAAGAAACGTGGTAGGTAAGTGTCTAACCACAATCCTATTCCTGATATTCCCATGGTCGAGCGTCCTGTGGATGAAATGGTTGGGTATGCTGTCGTTTGAATGCGCCATGCACTCGACTTTTATTAAGAAGAAGGCAACACTGGATACATGTTCGGCGGCCATAACTACGTGTTGGAATTAATCACGAAGCTGCATTCTTTTCACTACAAGCTGACATTTTCCCGTTTGATCAATTCATGGCGAATAGGGGAGGATCAGGCTCAATCTGCATAGGCTGGAGTCGATCCGAATTTAATGCCAGACCCAATGCAGACAGTGACTGCTCAGAACTATCCCACTTCTCGCTTTCTCTTCCCATTCCCAGTAGTTTAGCCAAGGCGTCTGAGCTTGATTAAACCTCCCCCTGATCTTATACCAAATCCTTTCGTGGCAGCGTACTGTTTTTTAATATATGTTGTTACTGTTGATTTATTTATATTTGTATTGCTATATTTATTCTACATTTATATCTGTTTATTTTTGTCTTTTTTTTCAAATATTTTCTATGTTTTCTTTTGATTTAGTTTTTTTTATTGCTCCATTTCCTTCAATCAAGAAAATTTCATCCAACCGCGGTGGTTGGGGTCTATTCAAGTTTCTTACGACAAGATTCGATCGATTTAACAAGAGCGAAAATTCATGATAAATTTAGATTCCTACCGTAATCCCACTCAACGATCAGTGATTGGGTGGGGTTACGGTCATTATTACCGTAATCGCCCTAATCTGCTATTGGATGGCATCTGTAGACTGTAATTACAGTAATCGTGAGGAGATAGAAGAGACATTAGACGGCCAAGAAGAAACCGCTGCATATACGGCGCACTGGGACAGGCGGCCCAATAAATGTAAAAAGGGAAACGGTATTTGTGAAATTGTGTTCCGCAAATTCTCGGACTTCAAGTTTCGCCAACATCATGCTGCTACTAGTTGTGAGAAGGAAACTAATACAAAATGGTTAGCACGAAGGACAGTAAAATTACGGAGGGAATTAAAATGTTTACACACGGTATAAGTTTAGGCCCCTGTAAGTTTTGGCTTTTGCACTGACGACCAATCTTTCCATTCCTCTGGGATCGGTTAATTGGTATCAGACTCGTCTGGAAAAATAAAAGCACTTACTTGTACATTGGCTGCCCACCGCCATTCGTTGTATAGGCCATATGCGCATTCAATCGGCACTACGATTCTGAATGGAAGTCGAATGCGGGGCGCACCCCGAAACGAATTGATTCAAAGTCTTTATCTTTCAATTATTATTTAATTACCTATTATTCAGCTGAATATTTGATTTACTCTAAACGAGAATTCCTTGCTCGAACCACAAAAAAACTTGCCATTACCTTTTATATCAGCGCATGACCCTTGTTTGATTTCCCTTCTCTGAACCAATCCTCATGGGATGGAACTGTTTCTGTTTTCGTAGCGTAGCACGTGTCGCTGGTGTGGTAGTAAACACAATTGATTGCTTTCTGTTGTTCAGTCGATGTTTTTCCATGAGCTGAGGTGAACGAAGACAGCGCCCTTCAGCTCATTTTCCCGATTTGCTTCCTCTCAGATCTGCAGCCCTTGTGAACTTCCAGCTCAAAAAGGCTAGTCTATCAAATTTAATGGTTTACGACGGAATTCATACCATCTTACCGATCCTCTTCGCTCTTTGATCATGCTCTTTTCATCAGAAACGATACGTCCATTCATATTTACCGTCCATAACTGGTTTCAGGGAGAACAGTTGAGCCTTGAAGGGTTTTGGCGTAAGATTCGCTGTTAGTGTTCATCCTGCAGAATTGCACTTTATTTGACGCCTTTGTACTGACTTGGGTCTTCGTTGTTATTTTTACTTTTACAAACTCAAATTTCACAAAATCTTCTGTAAGTCGACAACATTTAGAAAATCCCAGAGTGGCTTTAAAGTTTTGCCGTGTTGCCATAACTATTAGAGGCGAATACTTATTGTTGTTGCTAGGCGACCAAACGAAATAACTCCATTAGCTTTTTAACTTTCTCTGGTGCTTCGAGGTAACTCATGACATTGTTGTCTGCAGAGTTTCTCGTGCTAAGAAAGTTGTGGGGGGGGGGGGGGCAAGCAGAAGAAAATGATCATTCAACCATCGAGTTGAATTCCTAGCGTAATATTGTTCACTATTACCTATCGAATTAATTATCGATTTTATCATAACGTGGATCGTGTTGTCTATTATGTGGAGTGTGTGTGTCGGTACAACAGATATATTATTATGCAATAAGTATAATAAACCATTAATAGTCTACGATACGATTTCAGACACCGCCGGATTTTCGATCGGTTGAAGGCATGAGTTGATGAGGAGGAGGGTCTATTTGATTTTGACTCGAATTGTGTGGAAAGTGTATCCCTTAACGTTGTGGCTCAGCAAATCTTTGAACTAGGAGGAGTAGACATTGAGACCTGAAGGTAGGTTGATAACTGCAAGATCGAACCTCAACGGGCTTCCTTCATACTTTTCCGATCCAAGATACATAGGTGCTGGGTGGACTGGATATTTCAATTATCCTTTTGTATATATTGAATAGAACGTGGTTCATTGGAATATTTATTGTAATGGAGAATGAGAAGGGGCTGTGTCTAGACGAGATCTTGAAAGACAAAGTACCTTGAGAGTACATTCTTCTGCGACGTAGCAGTTGGGTCATGACAGATGGTCGTCGACGACATTTCCCCATCCCTTCCCATCACTTATAGCCTTTCCTTTCCAAGTTCCTATGCGGGTTATCTTTACCTACCACTATGTTCGCTTGCCTCTCTTCACTGTTTATCACCCATGTGTCCCATCAATCTCTCTCTTTCATCCCCACCTATCCCCGAGCTTCATCACGGTCCCCTTCCTGCTAATCTCACTCACCCGTTTATTATTAAGTTAGCGGTGAACCACTCTAACTCTTTACTCTCACTCATAAGTCCTGCAGACCTTTAACCATCTTCAAGCGCAGCCTAAGCTTCAATCACCTACCGTAATTCCTCTAAGTTAAATATACTGTTTTGATCTCACAGCATCTTCATACAATCCTACAGTGAAATGCTAGTATTAGAACGAAGCACGTTCATAGTTTAGGTGTAACCTTCGTATGCTGTTTACTACTGTTCACTCCTGTTTTTCTTTTTGAATTTTCATGCCGGCTCAGCTTCTCTTTTCGTCTTTCTCGCCCCTTCTATCAATAGTTTTTACCCTTTTTCCTTTTTCAACACAGTCTTCATGCTGTCCATCAGTTTTGATTTGCATTTCTGCCCAATTTGAAATGACTTCCTACTCCTCCTAACGTTCTCTCATTGTTTATGCCGTTCAGTCTCATTTTGCTCCATCATTTGATGTTCTTCAAAGGCCGTGCTGTCTCCAAAAGTTGCGGTATCAGGCGGTTGCGGAAAATGTTCATTGATGTTACACAGTGTAATATGTAAGTAGTGGTTGGTTGGTTGACGGTTCTTGAACTGTGAGTGGTTACCATCCTTTTCGATTCTAACCATTCACAACTTATAGGTTGCATCGTTTCAGTCTGTTATTGAACTTATTTCTTTTAATTTTTAAATCAGTACAGCAGCAGATGGGAATTTACAATATCAGGTGGATGAGGTTCAGTTAAAAACTGCATTTTATCGTTAACTTACTGGCATACGAGGAATATTTGGCATAACTACTAGTTTGATAGTTTCGGTTCGATTTTTTGCATTCTCCGAAAGCTTTCTAATTGGGCTACAGTTGTGAATGGTGCTATAATATCGAGCGGCACCCCTTTTAAGGAGGCCTTGATCCGTAGCTTTCGACCTGAGCCACCGATGAGGATCCGGCTGCTATAGAAAGGGGTTCTAGCCCTTTCAGTGACTACATTACCTTCCACTTCTGCTTCTGTTCATTGCTGCAGTTCGAGTAATGTAAAGAAGGCCTTATTGTGCATGTATCACCATATTCATATTCATATTCTCTTGTCTAGTAGAAGGTGTAAGTTCTTGTCTGAGAGTCAACCCTTCTGATGATTTAATTCACATCCACTTTTGCTTCGGTTCACTTCGGTATTTTCTCGGTTCTTGATTCTTTTCGCGCGTTATGAGCGTTCACTACTTTGGCTGGGGAAAGTAGTTAATTGAGTAACAGTGTTCGAATAAACTTCATTCGTACCTCTTGTTGCTGAACTTTCAAATTTCGAAATCTTTCGAAAATCTTGAAATTATTCGAGACTGTAACGTCCTCTCTTTTGATTACGAATTGTTAGACTTCCATGAAAACCAGTCTTTGTTTTCAGTATTCGAAGGCTTTCATCTGACTCACACCAATCGATGGGTAACATTCTGGTGAGTCCACTACATTTGTCAGAATGGACAACTCAGCGTATCGTTTACACTTCAATTTGGGTGTATTTGGTGCTGCTGGCTATCTACCGGTTCCTATACCTTAAGGTGCGTGCGCGGAAATGGGTATACCCGTTGTTTACGAAATTTCATCTGTTGTGTTGTGTACGTGGTTTGTAGCGCATGAGCACTTTGAGTTTGACGGACGTCTAATATTTCCTTTCCTCTTAATGGTCAGGGATTGTGAATGCGAATGTTGGCTTATCCATTTCGTTGATAGTACCATAAGGTAAAAATAGGGCAGGGGTAAATGTGAGCTGGTAGCCAGATTTGGATAAGTCCATCCTCTTTGATTTACTCTTCACTCTCGCTTTTGTACCAAATGTCCAAACAAACCTTCTTTGTTACCAGTTTGTATCGCATGATACGTTCCATTACAAGGGTTTCACTATATCTGACCCTTCTTAGCACTCCTACTGAAACATTCTGAAATTCCAGCCTTGGGGTGCGCAAGCAAAATGCCGGCGGGCAATAGAGAAGAACGAAAAGTCTCGTTCACAAGGATTTGCCGATTTTCAAACTCGTATCGCAACTAACAGTGATGACGTGTTGGAAAAACGCAAACAAATTGTCTCATGGACCTTGTTAGAACTGAGGGGTGAGTACCACTTTCTCAGTTTGTTTCTCCTTTTTACAGATATTTTATGTTTCTCAGATCGTCTGCAGCGGGATGAGTTAACTGCTGTACAAGCCTTAGAAGCCTATGTGTGGAAAGCTTTGCAACTGCAGGAAAGAAATAATTGTTGTATTGAAGTGCTAAGAGAGGTGCTTTGAAGGAGCTGTTTCTATTCTATCTGATTTGAATTATACTATTTTGAAGGCTTTCGATACAGCTGCTGAAGCGGACAAAATGTGGTCAGGCGTTAAGGAGAAGCCGCCGCTATTTGGCATTCCTTTCAGTGTCAAAGGAAATTTCTTTGTGAGTGGCCTAAATTTCTTCAAGCTTTTCACGTTTCGGCGTCGATTTGTTAAAGATAAAGATTTTCAGATGCCTGGCTACGATTGTACCCTAGGTTTGGCAAAATTCCTGGAGCAACCGAAACTTGAAGAATGCACAATGGTAACTCACCTACGCAATCTTGGAGCGGTTAGTTGGTTTTGCTGTCTGAAATTTTGGATCTACCCTCCTTGGGACTTGTCTTGTCGGAGCACTGAAGGTTCATCGACAGGTATCCTCATGTCAGGGTTGCCAGGGTAAAGCATCGATATTTTTTTTGTCCGCTGAAGAATGCAAGTGCGCCTTTCTTCAAACAATGGAGTATAGATTTTGTACTTTCCGGAAAGGCACCGAGAAATTGTTCGTGCAATATCTATCTTAAACGAAATTTAGTCTTTGTAAATTTGTTCCTCGATTCATTTTTTCCTTATGTACATAATCGACCTCTCACAGGATTCTTCTCTACTGCTTTTCTTACCTTGCCGTCATTGCTAATCTACACTTTTTCAGGTTCCGTTTGTTCTTACTAATGTTCCTCAAGCCCTGCTATCATTTGTCTGCTCTAATTCTGTCTATGGTACCACCACGAACCCACTTGATGTGACCAGGTCTGCATTGAATATCAGATTTGCTAGGGTCGAACTCATGGTTAGATATTTGTCAGAGGTTTAGGTCACCTGGAGGATCTTCTGGTGGTGAAGGTGCACTTTTTGCTGGTGGTGGTACTCCATTTGGTATTGGAAGTGATCTTGCCGGGAGTTTGCGAATCCCAGCCGCATTTTGCGGTTTTGTAACGTTGAAACCTTCGCAAGGTAGGGTTAATTCGTTCTGTCAGGCGCCTTTCGGCTTTTTTGCCTATTCTGATGCAGTTGTTAATCTTCTTACTTGAAGAGAAATCAAAAGTCAGTGAAGATGCGAAGGATGGTTTCAGAACGTCTAGTCGTCAAAAATACCCATGGAGGTGTTCCTGGGCGTGGACGTCTCGGATTAAGTTTTGGTTTTTTCACTCATACAGTCGAAGAGCAAGTCGAATTACTGCAGACGATTGTTGGAAATCCTGAATACATCAAACTCGTTCCCACTTCCATCGCAGTACCGTTAGACAAGAAGGTTTGTGAGGCATTGGCACAATTTAGTTCGTTGTAAGCCTACCTTACTGGTTAAGTTTTCCAGGAGATTGCTAAAACAGACAAACTGCGTATTGGTTACTACGATGATGATGGATTCTGCCCTGCGGTTCCTTGGTAAGAGTTTTTTTTTCCGATGTCATCCTTTTTCGAATGCTCCTATCAGATCGTAATTGATTTAGTGTTAAAAGAGTTCTGCTGGAAACTGTAGAACGATTGAAAGCCGAAGGTCATGAACTAATTCGTTTCAAAATTCCTAACGTGGATGAGATGGTCCAACTATTGTATAAGGTAAGCCATCTCTTTGATTTTTGCTTGCTTTCATCTGTCTTTATCAAAACCTTTTCACTTACAGCTCTTGATGCCGGATGGAGGCCGTTATGTTCGTGCTCTTTACGATAACGATATCGTCGATCCATACTTGAAGGAATTCGTGACGCTCCTAAAAGTGAGAGTAATGTTCTGGCCTTTTTTTCAATTTTGTGCTTTGGTATTATATTTTATTGTGTTAGGAAGGAAAGGCCTTACTTTTTTCTGTTAGCACGAAGCGACAGAGGTTCAGTGTGTCAAGCGTTCCAGAAAGTTCGATAAGTTGTGAGGGCTTCGATCTAATTCGTTCCATTCCTTCTTAGGTCCCCCACTGGCTACGATCTGTGGCTTCTTACATTCTGCAGTCAATCAGTCCTCAGCTGTCGGCATTATCTGCTGCTTATGTGTCTGATTTGGATGATTTACGTTATACTCAAGAAATGTGCGATGCTTATAAGGACAAGGCAAGTGGCTTAACAGACTTTTGTAATAGATTGGTCAGCTTATGTCTGTTTTAGTTCACTGAATATTGGAAGAGTCTTGGAATAGATGCACTGATATGTCCGACATTCCCTGGTAGGGTGATTTTATTGATGATATTGATATTTTGCTTCCGTTTCTTCAGAATTCGGTTCTTCTTCTAAGCATTTTATTTTAATTCTTATTTCTTATTTTGACTTATTTCCGTTCAATTGTTGCTCATTTTAAGTTCCCGCTGTCCCGCACCGTTTTCCATCACGTATGTCTTCGGCTGCGACCTATACAGGTCTCTACAATTTGCTCGATTACCCTGCAGGTGCTGTTCCAGCTGGAAAAGTAACCTCAGAGGATGACCAAGATCTGCTAGACGAGTCAAAGTATCCTGTAGGTATGTAAGAAGGGCCTTTTCGAAGTTTTATTTCCAGAATTTTCGTCTCTTAGGATTAACATTTTACAGGATATAATGTCGCTCTGCGATATATTCGTGATTCTTCGATGAACAGCGTTGGATTACCGCTTTCTGTACAAGTAGTGACGCTTCCTTACGAAGAAGAGAAATGCCTTCGAGTCATGAGTGAAGTTGAACGAATTTGGAATAATAATGGAGTTAGTGAGAGTTTTGTAAACGTTTCACCGTGAAATGTCTTTACGAACATGTACAGTTACTATTGCCTTCTTGCCTTGACCAAAATAAGTTCTCGGTTGATCAGTATAGCCTATATACAGACGTGCCTTTACTGTAAAGTAATGTGTTAAACTCTATTGTGATCTTTACAATGTGATTAGAATACCTACCATTAGCGAATGTTCGAATTATCATTGTTGAAATATACGTTTTCACTGTTCAGCATTTAGGCCTGCCATTTAGAATTTGGGTTCATTTTGCTGAGATGGAAGGTGGGCGCACATTTAAATCCTCATCACCATACTGATGTTTATGGAAAGGTATGACTGCTTATATATCCGTCATTGTCGTTCCTTTCTTAGTATCATCGATCCTAGCTTCGTATCACATATCTGATGTCCATATCGTATTGTTGCCCTGCACCAGACTCTTATCACTTTTTGTTAGACTTCTGTTGTTAATAGTATGCCTTTTCGACGTTGATAAAGTTTACATCAGACAGTTGCGAAAACCAGAAAATCGTTGATTTTCAGTTCTTTGTCTCACAAAAATCATTTTCTTTTACCTTTTTATTTCTCGCTTCTTTCCACTCGAAAAAGTGATCATTTACTATCGTTTTTAGGCGTTGAATTTCGGCTTATTCCTTCTCACAGAAGTAACCGAATAGTGAAAATCCATAGGTGGCGTGGACGGCTTGTCCGCAGCTGAACTCAGAAATTTTAACTCTTCGATGTTGTTACCTGGGCGTAGGTCATGTTGAACGACGAAAAAAATGTCTTGCTATGAGATATACCAAGGTGACTTATTCAAAATGTTGAAGGTCTCGGAAGTTGGTATTCTCATCTTCAAAGTGGATCTTTTGCTACAGTTTGGGGAAATTGGTAATTGTTAGTTGTTGTGGGCGCGCATTACTCTCCAGATGCGGCATTTAAGAAATAGATATAGAGGATAAAGTGTTTGACTTTGATCAATCCCGTTTGAGGGATGCACCCCGCATTCGANTTCATTCGGGATCGTAGTGGAGTATCGAATTGATATCCGGTATACACAATGACTTGCGGTGGCCAGCCGATGTACATGTCGGTGTCGGTTTTATCTCCCAGTCAAGTCCCTTGTTAATTAAACGACCCCAGTCGGAGCGGGAGGGTTGGTGGTCGGCCTGAACGAGTACAGTATCGAGTCGAGAAGTGAACCCCGGACCATGTATGCGTTAGTGCGCCTTCATACCCCGATATCGCGTTAAATTCATCTGATCCATACAGTTTCTGCTGTATCGGGTTCCAGCATAATGCGATAACAAGACGACCCTGTTCTGTAACTGTTGCGCAGTTCTGCAACAGTGCATTATTTGGTCACACAGAAGTAGGGGTCTTGTGAAAAACATGAGGATTTCTCCATGTTGAACCGGAAGTGAATGAGTTTCGCATTGAACTGTTTGCCTGTACGGTCATTTTGTAGGGAAAATAAACAGCTATGAGCAGTCTATCCAAAAATCAAAACAAAAGTTCATTTTTGGTGACTCCACACGGCAACATTTGTTCAAAATTTCATGAAATTCTCGCGTGATTCGGATAATACAAGGTTTATTTAATGCAAGCAGAACAACATGTAGATTACTATAAAGCAGCCGTTGTAGGTTAGATACCGCCATTGTACAGAAGTCTCCCAAGTATGGAGATAACACCTCAGCTCCTTTCCTTAACTGGTACGTTTGAATGTTCGATGGTGTTCCAAAGTTCCCACAGCATCAATAGGAAACAGATGTGAACCTTTTTCTGTGGCTTATATAAAACGAGGCTCTCAGTTTGTGGTCCATTTCTTCTTAGTTCTAAAATGCTACTCTCTTACTTGTACTAGATAAGCAAGACGCAGTGGGTAACTCATCCGTGCGATACATTAGTCCATTCAGAATTGCTTGGGCATTTCTATGTGACTAACGCAATGTTTATATAAATGTCTTGATACTTCGAATAGAGCTCTCTATTCGAACCAACAACAGAAACTATGGGATTTGCTTGATTCGGGCAGGAGTCGATCCTATAACCCGCTCCTAGCAGCTCTCCGAGCCACTAAAGAATTACCATTGAAGCTACGGGCCAAATACTGATTGTAGGTATCATAGAAAAATCGATGCAAGGGAATGGGTGCAGAATCTGTAAGATCGAATTATTGTTCGGTAAATCTCATCTTTTGCAGTTCTGTCGACTATTGCGATGGCTGGTATCTTTGCTCAGTTCAATCCAGGAGGACCGTGTGAGAAAACGTTACTTACAAAATCTCTTTCACTTTCAGCCCGATCACCCCAAGGGTTTCCAGGGTCGGAAGAAAGAGGCGCAGTTCACGATAGTTCAGAAATAACCTTTCCGATTCATAGAATGAGGTGGTGGTGACCAACTGTGCATCAAAAGCGAAGAAAGTGAGAGAATCAGCAGCAATTGTGAAATATAAGGCTTTTCGGAAGTAGTGACGGTAGAGGTTGTACGAGATTACAGTGACGGAAATCGCTTGGTTTATGAACGAGTTTTCAGCCTTTACATTGACTAAAGTACTCGCTGCAATAAGCTACAGCAAGTTAAAAATGTATGTTTGGAATAGCCTTCCACTGTTGCGGTGTGTCACAATCAACAAACAAGCAACTAGTTGTTTGAGTTCCTAATATGTGTGCTCCATTGCGAGTTCTGCAGCCTCCGCAACGCCGTTGAAACTCGTCCTTTTTTTGGTGTAAACGTCGACGAAAGCGGTCTTGAAGCCGAAGATTGTTGCGTCCTACCTAGGCCCTCTTTACGACCCGGCAACGCCCCAGTTGGCGTTTTTGGAGGGCATACCTTCATCCTAGTTTGCCTTTAGCTTTCTGTATGCCTGGATCTTATTAAAAACTGATATAAATCTGTTATAAGCTTTATGTATTATATTTATATCAACTCTATTTTTCTAATTTTCTCTATAACTTTCCATGTATAGTGAAAATATGATAATACTATTTCAAGAAGAATGTTTAGTGATTCCTGCCATTACGCCTTGTTGCCAGCTGAATTGTACCAACGACACGATCTGCCAGCAAGGGCGAGTAGTTTGTCCACGTGTTCCCCCATGCCTGCCTGGAAGAATATGTCCACGACCATCGTGCTATGCTGATAAGTCCAAATGTATTTCATCAGGTGAGACTTATAACTCAGACCTAAGAAGCAGTCGTTCAAAGAGAAATTAGCGACCTTATTGAGAGTCCAGATGGAACTTGGTAGGATGTAGGGGTCAGTTCTGCTTGAACCCTGGATTTTTTTGCTTCGTACGAATGACTACTGATGGTAGGCTTAAGCCACTATCGTATAAAGTGATAAACCATGTGATGACTGGCATTGTGGACCTTTTTAACTTTGATACCTTGAAATTGATGGACATGTTGGACATGATTGGAGCGGATCGGAAACGCAGAGCGACTGCTCAAGCAGCTCCTGTCCACCTGAAAACGAAAAAGCAGCTTCTAAGATGGTACGGACACGTGGAGAGAAGGCTACCGAGTCATCCGATAAGGAGGCAATGAAACTCGAACTAGGGAAGCGACTACGAGGAGTTCCAACGAATACCTGGGACACGTAATCTATAAGGACTCCGCTGAAACTGAAGTAGAGGCAGAAGATGCTGCAGATAGAAGAAAGTGAAGGCGACTGACAAGAACAGCGGACCCTGCCATGCGACGGCAAGGTACATATTAATGCTGGGGAGAAGAATTAGATGACTTCATGGTTGTTTCTGGTCCAACTGTTATTCGGGACGGTGGCCGAGTAGTTCTGACGTAACAGTCCTGTTCAGGCTGAACTGGCTTTTCCTCATGTTTTCTGAAAATTAAACAGTAACGTTCTTGTGTACTACTCCCCAAATTTAACGAAGGGAAGTATAACTTTTGCTCTTTCTAAGCAATTGTGACTTTACAAAGGCCAACACGGTCATCCACTCATCCACTTTAAACTCATACTTTTTTCCGTCCAAGCCCACTACCACGTTGCTACTCCTACTATAACAATTAATTTTACTTTTACGCGAACGGAAAACGTTCGAAGCCACGCAAAACTGGTGGCACAGGCTGTGCTATCAGTTCAAAGGAAACGGCAGTGAATAATTTTTGTCCTGACCTAATGACGCACATTTCACTAGAAAGGCTTAGGCAAGCAGCGTCAACAAGTGGCTTATCGAAAGTGAAGCCATGCGCTTTGTATTTCATCAGATTTGCTCAAGCTCTCATAATTACTTTTCCAGCTAGGCAAGCGGCGTCAACAAGTGGCTTATCGAAAGTGAAGCCATGCGCTTTGTATTTCATCAGATTTGTTCAAGCTCTCATTATTACTTTTTCAGCTCAATCAACGACGAGCTTAGGGCAAATCAATCCGGGTGGACCCCGTAAGAAACCATTACTGGTGAATGAATTGTTCGAGCATCTTCTTTAAAAGTCATTCAGTGATCCCAGCCGTCATACCTTGTTCCCAGCTGAACTGTACTAATGGTACAGTCTGTATTCAAGGGAGTGTAATTTGTCCTCCACAACTACTTTGCCTTGGAACAAACTGCCCACGTTTACCACCGTGCTATCCTAGACCAAGCCAATGTGTCTCTCCAGGTAGCCCTACTTTTTTTTCGAGGAATAAAACTCTGATGATTTATAATTATTCCATTTAAGGGCAAAAAAATGGAACAAGCTGCTCCGATGAAACAGGTTCCTATATTTAAATACTTGAACAAATTATTTCATTTTTCAAATGACTTGAGCGGAGTAAGAGATGAATTGAGGTGTGGGCCCATATAGTAGATAGCCGCCTCTACACAAGTTATATTTGTACTTCATTACTTGTTGTTCCAAGCCGATCCTTCTCTATCTCCTTACCTCCTTCCCAGATACGACCCTTTCGTCCCAGTTGGGCAGTACTGACCTCCTCCGTTACAGATTCAGCAACACGGGGCATTATTTTCTTCTGATTAATTAGTCGAGGTTCAGCGATATATGAGGGTCGGGGCGTAGATG